TCTTCTAAGCAACATTGAATAGTGAGTGAAGATTTGGACATCTTTAGTTTGTCCTTTTGCTAAAATGAAACTATGAATTGAGCTCTCACATCTTAAACTTAGCAGAAAACTACTCCTTCCATTTCATCAAAATATGGGATCCATAAGAAGATCAACTTCCCATTCATCTCTATCCAAATGTGTTTATGTCTTCATTCATCTTTATCCTGGCTCTGGAGAGTTCCTTTCTTCCAAAGCTAGTCTTTCTACCTGTTTTCCTAATTCCATTCCCTGTCCCTTGCTTAAGACTTTATTCTATCAGTTAGTCTTAATTGTTCATTGATTCATTCTTTTCCGGATTTTTCTTGCTCTTTGCCTAAAAATTTTCTCAATTACTGCCATCTTAAAAAGTACATAAATAAAAATGTTAACCAAAAAATGGAAGAAAAGAAGCTTCCAGCAATTCCATCTGTCAGTCAATTCTCTCTCCCTCCCTCCCTCCCTTTCTCTCTCTCTCTCTTTCTCCTTCCTTTCAATTACAAACTACTTAAAAATTTAGTCTATGCTGCCATCTTTTTTCTGTCACTGCATACTCAGTATTCAGCCCACTATGGTCTAATTTTTACCTTCACTGTATTACTGATATTGCTTTGGAAAAGATCTAAATATATCTTATTAAGTGCAAGATTCAGTATACACTTGAAAGCTCAGTCAATCTGAATTTTCTGCATTATTTATGGTCATTGGCTACTATATTTTCAATCATTCAAAAATATTCAAAGACATTATAGTCTAGAGGAGAATATACATAAAAAATCAGATAACTACAATATATGCGAAGACTGTTGTGATTTTGATAATCAGAGAGACATATGGTAGAAATTGCTAGTTGCCACCCAATAGGCAGTCTCTCTTTTCATAGAAAGAAAATTCTCATTTAATTGAGGAAAGCAATGTTCCAAGATTAAAACACAAACAAATAAATTTTACATTTTGCAGCATCCCTTGAGGTTATGTATAGACCTCTGATTAAGTTCTGGCCAATAATATGCAAAAGAAAGCATCTGGAAAGGACTTAAAAAGATGTAAGTAATGTTTGCTTCCATTTCTCTTCATTCCTACGGTCTGGAATATAAAAATCCATAGACAGAGATGCAGAAGGCATATTTTGACCTTGATAAAAATGAAAGTCAGAACACAAGGCTAATAAAGCATAAAGACAGAAGTGCCTCATTCCCTGATGACTTTGTGAAGCTGCCGTAACAGTCCTGGACTGCCCATTCTCAGGCTTTTTTTATGGAGATAGTAAACTCCCAATTTGCTTAAAGTGCCAAAACCAAGTCTTTGTATCTGATACAGGAACATTAGAATCACTTGTGTGTAGAAAAAATTCTTTCTTGGATCTCTGAGTTATTTTTTGTCTTCTTCAATATACTTTCACTGGATGGTCCCGTCCATTTCTCCTTCATGTCTGTCTCCTGAGTTCCAGAACCATATACCCAACTTCTCCTAGACTTTTCTCTTCATATGTGCCTTAGTCACTTAAATTCAACAAGCAAAACCTGAATGACTTGTCTTACTCCTCCTAATCTGCTCTTGCTTCTATGTATGGCTTTTGGTTAATGATACCACTCTTGACTAAGCTATCAAATCCTCAGAGGTAAGTCTTAATTCTTCCTTCTCCTTCATCCTTAACATTCAATAGACCATTGATTTTAATTACGTCTACTTCAGATATTTTTCTTGCATGGATACACTCCTCCCCGTTCTCATCAATATTGCCTTCACCCAGGTTCTCATTGTTACTGCTTTGGACTATTTTTAAAAATCATTCCAAAATAAGCCTCCTCCTCCAGTCCCTCATCTTTCCAATCTATCACCACCCTGTCAAAAAGAGTTAACTTCCAAATACATAGATCTGTTTACGCCCATCTCAAACAGAAAAGTTTTCAATTACTCTCAATTCCCTACAGGGTAAAGTTAAAATGTTATAAATGATCCTTTTGAAACAGCCTCAGTTTTGTTTGCAGGTTTTCTTCTATTCCCCATCCAATGAAACACACACCAACAGTACCAACTACAATTGTTTCCTGTCACATCAGACTGTTTGTTATTTCTATAATATTCCTTCTCCTTTCCTACCTCTATCTTTTTATTTCACTTGTCCCATCTACCTTGAATCCTGTTCCTCTGCTTTTCCCATAAGTATACATTTGTTTTTTACTTATTAATCAAGGCCTAAATTAGAGTCAAACAACTTACAGAGCTTTCTCTTCTCACTTGCCACATCAGTAGAATTAATTATTCCCTTACCTCTTACGGTGTGCATTTGTGCATATCACTATTATATAGTTTATGACATTGTCTTGCATATTTAGGTATATTTTATGTGTCTTAATTTTGTATGTATTTGAGCCTCTTAAAGGAGGCACCATATACTCATTTTGCATCCCCCAGATGTTCTACAATGCATGGCACAGAGAGGATGCTCAATTCATAGTTGAGTACTGGACTAATTACACTTTAGTTGCCTTATAAGTGAAACGTGTAAATTCAGGATAAGTGCTTTCAGATCACTGTAAGAAGGACTGGAGAAGAATTTTAATCGAATGGTCTATTATGAGAATGGTAGTCAAAGTCCTTAATGGTATGAATTCATCGTCCTTATCCTAGACACTAACACCCCAGACCCAGAAAGCACTCAGCACATTCAGTCCAGAAATGCATTCCATTCATACCTACTTCTTTTTAACCAAATATATCTGCTAAATGCAATATTTCATGAACCTGATTTGGAATGCAAATTTTACTTAGTGGACTTTGAATAATCAGTAGTTTTGAATACCAAATTTCTATAATTTTTAATGAGTTTCCCTGCCTTAGAATCATGCTTGCTACTTTTCAAAAAACCTCAAAAAAAAAATGATGACTTGGATTGGAACTTCTTTTCAATTTAAGGAAGAAAGAAGAACAAGATGAGAACTCAGGGTCACCGAGAGATTAAAGCAAGCGTGTTTTGACACACGGAAATAACAGGTATTTAAGGATCTCTCCAGGATTGACCTGTAAGCAGATGGCGGTACAGCATGTGAAGGGGGACACTCCCTTTCCTCAGATTTATTTTTTCTAATGGGAAATAGTGAGTGAAACGATGACAAATAGTTTTAGATTTGCAATGCTAGTCCTCCTTTTATATAATGACTCAGCGTTCAAATTGTAAATCATGCATTCTAAATGGCTCATTCCTAATCTATCTCTAAGATATGTAAAGTTGATGAATTTAAATCATCATATCAAACAGAAAAGAATACAAACTTAATTTATACATCTGGAGGAAATTATATTTTGGAGGGAAAATTAACAGTAACATATTTTAACAGTTAGGTATAAGCTGGGCTTCTAGCAACTTTTTTTAAAGTTTCGGATAATATGAAGAAGTAGCATATAATTTGAAAATAAAATTCATATTGAAATAGACCTTGTGGATGATCTTGAGTATGTGAAATTGAGGAAAGTAAACAGACAACAGACTTGGGTCTCCAAACAAATTAAATCTGTGAAAAATATGCGTAGTATAATGCTAAAAGAGAAAATGAAAACTGAATGTCTAGTAGTCCAAAATAAAGAAATAATATTTTTTAGTGTGTGTGTATATATACATATGCTGTGTGTATATGTTCACATATATATGTATGCATATACGTATTCACAAACATATTTCCTTTGAGAAAACGATAGGGAACCAATATTGCATAGGTTGTAGAGGTTTGTGTATTTGTTTCTGTAAAATTTGAATATCATGGAAAATAAATCATTTTGTTAACTCTAATAATTAGTAGACAGAATTTCCTAGCTGTTCACTTTTGATTTGTGCTCTTCAGTTTCATCATAGATTCAAGGTTGTCCACCAGAACAGAGACACAAAGGACTTTCAGGGTAAACCCCAGTTCTGACGTTGACTATTATGACCTTGGGCAAGCTATTTAACCTTGCTGAATTTCATTTTTTTCAAGTGTTAAAGAAAACAAAACAAACAAAATAAACAATATATCTGGCATGCTATTGTGAAGATTAAACAAGATAGAATATAGTCGAGAGATAGTTGATAAGGCTTAGTTCCCTGCCCTCTACCCTTGATGGTAATTCTGTGCTTGTGTTTTTGCAACCATGTTCTTTTTAGGAGTGTTAGTTCATTGAGGGAAAGTATAATGTCAGGCTATAGGGGTCCTGGATGTTACAAATTTGTAAGTATGCTGTTACCGTTTTAAAAAATTTGTTCTCGTGAATATAAGTTCCAAGAATGTTCATGATGTTTCACTTTAACTTAAATTTATAATCTTGGTCCATGTCCTTCTCAAAGTCACTGATAACTGGATCCAATATAGATATCAAACATTATTTTATTACCAAACCCACTCTAGAGAAATGATCTACTGTTATTAAAAGATGAGCAGAACAGTTAGAAATTATTTCTACCACGGTCATTTTATAGTGATTTGAAACTCAGCGTCACCAAAGAATTTATTAAATTTCCTCTAAATCTATAATGACCTATCATAATCCACTTCTACAATTAGATATAAAAAGCTTTTAAGACCTGAATTTCTATGTTATATAAATGAATATCAATTAATAATAATAAAGCAATTACATCATTAATTTGCAATTCCAAATGAATATATTTTATAAAAATTACAGGATTCAATTGCGCTCCATCTGTATACTTTCTGAAGTCTGAAAACTATGCTCTAAATTAACACCCATTTCTTATCTAAGTGGCTTACAAAACCTGATTCATTCTAAAATCTCTGAAGTAAGTAAAAACAAATTGTATCAATTAATATTTCTTTAAGAAATTCGGAAGATTTCTTGCTAGTTTAATTACATGCAATTTCATACACTCCAATTGAGTTTGTTCTAACCTACATAGATGTACAAGTTTTGTTGGGGTGAGGAGGGTGTAACTGCTTTGTTTCAAGCATCTTCCACATGTGATGCTGTAAGGGTTGGACAGTACTCACAGCTGACATGATGAGCTCTCCCCCCAGGTTCTGGATCTCAGCTTTTACTTGACTGCAGATTTTCAGTTGGTGAGAGTAGAACTTAATCTGTTCCAGGTAGGCCAGCAAGTCCTGTTTGCATGATGGATCTGGACACTAAATATGCATAAAAGATAAAAATGAAAATAAATAAAATAAATAAGTAGACTATAGTGAGTAAATATTGGCATTGCTGGTACCTTATAAGACAGCAAGTTTATTTTCATTTAGCCCCATTTCTCAGACCAAACCCATGTAGATTCTGCTATGCTTCTACCACCAGAAAAGTGTATTCATGTTTCAATCTTAATTACTTCAGCGTAGACAAAAGAAATAGTAAAGGAATTTCCAGACATGAAATCCACATAAAATAGTAGCCTTTAACTTATGATAGGGTTAGAAGCTTTCAGAATATATTTTTAGGTAAATCTAAAGAAATATTTAAAACATAATTATTCCTTTCACCTAGAGTTGTTATTAGAATATCCCTTGAGATCCATCGTTCTGCATTGTCTGACTTTTGTTATTTATACAGACACAAAAATATCTGTGGGGCAGGTGCCATGGCGTGGTGATTAAGTTCTGCGCACTCAGGTTTGCTGGCCCAGGATCGCAGGTCCAGATCCCAGGTGCACACCTACACCACCCATCAGCTGTGCCATGGTGGTGATCCACATGTAAAGTGGAGGAAGCCTGGCACAGATTTAGCTCAGGGCTAATCTTCCTCCAGAAAAAAAGAGGAACATTGGGAACAAATGTTAGCTCAGGGTTAATCTTCCTTGGCAAAAAAAATGTCAGCAAGAAAACATATATGTTCTATTACTTTCAGTATTCAATGTTCTTAGTTATTACAGACAAAGGAAACCATTTCCATCTTAGATTACAGGCGTAGATCTACCTGGAGCCAAGAAACAGATAGAATACATATTTTAGAGATGTATCAAGTTTCTTTACCAAAAACAGTCTCCTACATTATATTATCTTCCATAAGGAACTTCCTGGACGACAGCTTTGAGCTTGAGCATAAGGTGGTAAATATCTGCAGTCAGGGTTTAATCTTTGTGCTCTTTCCCCTATGAAATTATAACAGATTTTTAAAAATTCCTGAAACTTAAATCCACTTTAAATACATCTTCATAAGGACATGAAATGTGGACAGTAATTTATGTGCAAAGCTATTCATTGCAGCTTTATTTATTGTAGAAAAATTTGGAAATAAGTTAAATGTCCTACAATAGTGGGAAGATTAAGTAAGAATGCATATCCTTATAAGGTGATATTATATAGTCTCAAGAAAATAATATTTTCAAAGGATATGGGAAAATGCTTTTGGACAGGTGAAAAAGCTCAGTATTAAAAAGTTCATATACTATCTCAATCAAATTGTGTAAAATATATGTTGTGTTGGTGTTTAAAACACGTTGGGAAATGAATTTATGAAAATGATAAACATGATACAATGAATAATTATCTTCTCATTTTACATATCTTAAACATATATTACTTCTATAATTATAAAAATGTTATTGTCAAAAAAAATTAATTCTAGTAGCCTAAAATGCAAATTAAAAAGTGGGATGAAAGACCCGAAAGCATTTCACGCATTTCTGTTTTTACCTAGTAGTTAATAAGCCACAGCGTTGTTGGAAAATTCCTGACAGTCTTTTTCGTTTTTATATTTGCTACATAGACTAGTCTATAATAGCTCCAGAATGTGTGGACAAGATGAGAACATGTGACCCTCGAGTCAAAGTCAATCAACAAAGGTGGCAAAAAATAAATTCTTCTGAAGAAATACTGTCCATATGCTAAATAGACATGGACATATGAATGGATACATAGATACATGACAGCCAGCCAGAGAGACAATCAGACAAGAGGATAGAGAGAGCTTGATATTAAGGGTGTTACCAAATTTTAAACAAGGGAGTAAGGGCAATCCCCCAATTCTTATCAGGAAGATTAAATTGTAACTAATCAAGAAGAAGAAGTAGAAGAAGGAAAAGAGGAAGGATGAAGAGCAAGAGAAAGAGAGGAAAGGGCGAGGTGGATGAAGAGGAGAAAGAGAGGAAGGAAGAGGAAGGGATTTCCCCAATTTATACAGGAGAAATCAGAAATCTAGAAAGCCTGATACTTTTCCCAGGATTGAAGAGTTTATGTCAGAGCCAGTATTTGAACCCATTTCTATTGTCTTTCAAGTCTATTTTATTTTAAATCACCAAACTTAAGAGAATTGGGAATGCATTTTTTTTTCCATCACAGAATACCATGGGCTGCATAGTTAGAAGAAAAAAGATAATTCTTGGGAAAACTCAGCCTTCGGCAGTGTTTTGAAGTGAAGAGTGCTTAGATTTTTTAAGAGAGCAATGTTTTCACAACTAACTTCAGAATTAGTTATCTAGAATAATGTATAATGATGAAAGGCCAGTCATTTCATTGTTTTACCATCACAGGAAGTTGATCTTTATTAAGTACTTCCCATGTGCCAGGCACTGTGTCATGTCCTTTATGTACATAATTCTAAATTAGTACTCAGAGTCATTTTACTTAGATCTAATTATTGCCATTTTGCACATTTGCAAACTGAGTTTTGGATGGAGTATATGATTTGTCTAAAGATCTGAATTTAGTTTCCTCTGTTTCATTCACTGCACAATGATCTCCTCTAGACGACATTCATTCAAAACATCGTTTTCTTTATCCTCACTGAGTGATGGTCTTATCTAGTTCTTGTTCTTATGGATGGACTCAACAATACCTGTCATATGCTATTCTGGGTGCTTTACTTACATTAACTCTTTTGATAATCACACAACTCCACGAGGCAGGTTTTATCATTATCCCCATTTAGCAAAGGAGGAAACTGAGGCACAGAGAGGTTAATTGACGTGCCCAATTAACAGGTGGTGGAGCTGGTATCCAAACTCACTTGATCTGGTTCCACTTTCCTACCTCTACGGTCTAGGAACAATATCAGTCTTCCTGCCAGTTTTATTTTATTTAATTTAAACAGTAAATTGCCACTCTGATTTGTATATTGGTTTCTCAAATTGACACTGTAATTTGTAGATTGTAAGAAGCATTAGTGTGAATTTATTCCTTAAATACCAACATGACTATATAACTTTGGATAAAATCAAAGTTAATAATTAATTCTTAACCAATAACCAATGCTGCAATCAACCAAGCATAGGCAACACATACAGTCTCCTTCAAGTGACACTTTCAAGGCCACACTAGAAGAGTCTAGAATTCTGGTAAGGAAAGAATGAGTCAAATGAGGGGAAAATTTGAAGCTGAACTTTTGAAATTAAAAGTTCCTTGACCCAGATTTACCGTTCATTCCCAGAATTGATAAGAATCATGGGTACACCTAAAGGTGGCGGCCACTTTTATAACTGAAGTAGAAAAGCATACTAATTGATAAATTCTATACTATAAAATTTATTAATGTCTTCTTTGTCATTGACGTTTGGAAAGGCTTTCCGAGTTGTTGTTGGCTGCCCACAAGCAGAACCAGGAAAATGAATCATTCCCATTTTAAGAATGCTCTTCTACTATTTGCCAAACCTCCTTTATTAAAATCAAATAATGTTTTCTCCCACCTTTTATATTTTCACATCGAGGCAATAGAAAAAGTTTGGGTCCTAGATTTGTAGAACATTTATGCCTATGACTTTTTTTGAATAAAATTTGCATAAAAATACCTTTTAAAGGAACACTGCTAGAGACTTTTAAGGCAAATCAAGTGGTAGAACATCCTAACACACTTTGGTTATTATTTCCTAGTTTATTAAGATAGGAGATGTCGACCAGGACATCTGGTTAGCTTCTAAATGCATGCATTTCTTTTTTTTTTAATTTAAGTTTTATAACCACTGGGACACTCACTATAAGCAAGCAGATGGCATGTCGGCCTAAGTGGTTTTCTCAGGTTAACCCAGCTTTCATTCTTTTAGTAAGATGCTTGATACTAATACACAATACATCATATAGTAATGAAAGGAAAAGTGAAAAACATTTATTACCTTTCAGTTTGAATTTTAAGGGTGAATTAGCAAAGTGAATCCTTTTAAAGACCTTTATTCCATAAGCTTAAGCTATTTTTTGCCCATGTTGGAATATAAACTTTATTTAAGACACATTTAAAATGACTTTTGCAATTACAGACAACAGTTTAAATTCTGCTAAGCTGGCAAAGTTTGTTAATGAAAAGTATTAGGTGTCACTGTGAATTTCCAGAAGAGAAATTTCAAGCAATCAGCGATAGCAAAGGCCCTCAGTGTCGACGACCCTTCTCTTCCCTCAGGGCTCATTTCTCCACCTGTACTCCAGCCCAGAGGCTGTCTCATTTCACCTTCCTCCGGGTCACAGAACTCCAATGATCCCATCTTCTTCTGCACTTCTAATGTCTCTTTTTTCTATCCTTGAATCTATAAACATAAAGTCCCTCAAAACAAAAACCCTCCCTCAACTCTGTAATTCCATCTCTCTCTTTTCTTGTTCCTGAACATGCCTTCGAAAAAATGTTCAATGCTGCCCCCACTGGTGTTTTCAGTTTTTGTTCTTGAGTATCTTTTCATTCTTATCCTCTTCTTGGATAATAGTATACACTGCTCTGGTTTCATCTATCACTTACAAAATAAAAACTACTAACTCTATCCTCCAGCCCTGTCTTCAGAAGATCCATACACCCATTGCATTTGCCCAGCCCAGCTCATCATCTTATCAACATTTCACACTCAACACACATAACCCTCAGCTATTTCATACTCCATCTTGCCTACTATAAAACAATTTTTCCTGTTCTATGTCAATAAAGAGTGCTTTCTCCCTCTCTCTCATCTGTTAAATTTGGTCAGTCATTACTCTGAGATAATCACACATAGAAATCTGAGCATACTTTGAAAATTTTTCTTCTTTTGCTATGCTTTTCATTCCTGTTCTTCATCAAACTGAGGTCTCTAAAACACAGAAAGAAAGATATCTAGAGAAGTATGGTTAAAAATACAGTGAATTCTTTGATGATGTCAGTGATGAAGCACAGCATTGACTCATATGGTCCAGACTGGCATGCTGACTTGTGAGAGTTCTATTTGGGCAAGTATGGTTTAGCATTTTTCAATGCCAAATGTGGGCAATGTTGCTTTACTAGAAATGATATAAGCTGTTCAAATTCTGTCATATCTCCCTATTTATACTAAAATTATCTTGAGTTTAAGAATTGTTTCAAATTCATTTTTAGTTTCAATTAGGTTTGGACATACAGCCATTCAGAAAATGATGTCAGTGGGGCTGGCCCCGTGGCCTAGTGATTAAGTTGAGTGCACTCTGCTTCAGCAGCCCAGGTTTGTGGGTTTGGATCTCTGGCACAGACCTATATCACTGGTCAACCATGCTGTGGTGGCAACTCACATATAAAATACAGGAAAATTGGCACAGATGTTAGCTCAGGGCTAATCTTCCTCAAGCCAAAAAAGAGAAATATTGGTAACAGATGTTAGCTCAGGGCTAATCTTCCTCAGCAAAGAAAAAAAAAAAAAGAAAAGAAAAGAAAAGAAACGAAAACGCTATCAGTGACACATACTTTGAACACTAATACAAATTAAGGACAAAGATGCTTTCCATCTTCATCAAAGCCCCTTTCCTTTAGTAGATATAAAGTTCTGGCCCAACCTACTTTTCAGCTTTTTGTTGACTTCCATGAGAAATTCTCAGGATTGATTTCCCCACGTACTAGACTACAATTCAAAAAATATCTCCCTTCCCCTGAAACCTGAAATTTGTCAACTGAAGAATTCCTTGGGTTGAAACAAATTTATAAAAATATTTACCCTGCATATAGAATAAGGAGGCAGAAAGGATGATGGAAAGGAAACTCAGACAAATTTCAATTATTTGGAATTTTTCGTTAAAGTTAGTCAGCCGCCTGTGAGGAGAAACTTTCCTCATCTTTCCTTTTCCCCTCCTATACCAAATCATTCTTTCCTCTGGACCCTTGAACACCTTGTTTTTGGTTCCTAGGGCCATAGTTTTGTATACTTGAAATAAAACAATATATAATCACCCTCAATGCATTTGAGCCATTATTTCAATGGGGAAATGACAAAGGTCTGATAAAGGTAAAAAATAGTGAAACAGCATGGCTTTAAACAGGACACTATTATTTCAAGGAAACAAACACACTAAATATTTTAACGTCTACCTATTCCTATTTTAATTCCTGAGAACCTACTATGCATTTATTTTTATAAAGTAGGGGTTTATTAATCTGGAGAACAAATGTAAGTATCGATATCTCTGCTCAAAATAAACTTCAGAGAAATAATATATCAAAATACACATATCATCACAAGATTCACCTAGAAATTACATCCTTAAGAGACATGTTAGAATGATATAAAAAAATCTCTTCAGAAGTTTCTTTTCAGTATGTTTTAATTATAAAAAGTTCTTAACTCTCATAACATCAGCAGGGAAACAATTCAAATGAGGCTAGCCACCAATAAGATTTTGCTGAAATATTAATATAAATTACACTTGTAGGTTGTTTTGTTCATAATTGAGGGCATTGTGTATGATTCGGCTTGTAATTCTTTATCTTGTTTTTAAAATGTCATCTTTTCTTGAATTAGCATTAGCTTGCAATGTATTTAACCTTGAAAATTCATTTTAATTGTGTTGAGTCATGATTAGGTGGGAGTACTAAGCCAGTAATGGGGATACCCTTGCTTTGGGAAAATTACAGTGAAGGGGTAGTAAGCTTCAGACACGCCACCCAGGAGTCAGAAAGTCTAATTTTGTCCTCTCCTAGTGCAAAACAGATTAAAAGACGTTATGTGGCACCTATTCATTTCTTTCCTATTTGGGGTATACTGCTTCGACAGCTAATTGAGATCTTTTTGTGCATTATACCTACCATGTGAGGTGTTACCCAGTTCATCTAATTTAGAATATCTGCTAACATGATGAATTACAGTGTAGAAGCAAGTCATAGAAAGAGATGTGTGCAAAGATTCTAAAATCTTGGATTTGTAAGAATGGCACTTCTCTAATTTGTCGTTCTCTTTGTTCATGAGGAACATGTTCATGAATTGTGATGGCTAACAAATATCTTGTCTTTTAAGAGTATACTATCTAATGGAGACAAGATTTGTACCAGAGTTCTACAGGACTTAAACAATATGGTCTTGGATGGCATATGTAATCTACCACGCCATCTCAAGACACTTTTAAAGCTCAAGAGATGTTGAGCAGTTGAGACAAGTAAGCTTACACTAGAGTTCTGGATGTTTAAGCACAAGTTTTTATAGTTCATCTCTTCCTAGTTATCTAATGACAAGGCCAGAGTGGTGAATTGTACGTGGTTACACACAATAAACATTTGTTCAAGGAAGTAAGGCAGGGAAGGATTAAAAAAATGAAAAGAAAGTCCAGGCAGGCAGAGTTAGAAGGATTAATTAATTTGATTTCATTTTATTCTCTCTACCTATGAACTTTGACTCTGAAACTTTTTAGAATGAAACTTAATTGGTCTAACATCATACATATACACATACATATATCTCACAAGTCCATGTTGGGTGGAATTGAAAATTGATTGATATTGGACTTTCTGACACTCAATTAAAAAACAGACTAGAAAGAGTCATAAAAATTGTTAACATTTTTTTTGAACTATTAGATTGCTCAAAATAGAAAGCAGCCAATGTTCTAGCAGATTTTTTTCATAATATACATGAACACTGTGAAAATCACCTGGCTTATATAATTCATGTATATTCTGCAATCAATTTCATATATTATTTTCTAAATTTTTTGTTAATCTCTCAAACATTATCAGAAGCACAGTCATAGAAAATTTCCCCAGATGATCGTTATGAAACAGTTTCTTTATTCTCAATTTTGATTCTTCACAAGTCTTATTTGTTCAGAACAAAAGCACTTCGTTTGGAACTGCTCTGCTACATGAAGAAGAAAAGGCCAAAGAGAGTCATCCGTAATTCTTTATCAGTCAATGACTGTGTCTTTAAACTTCTCTTAAAATGTAAAAGCTATGTGGAAGGAAGATAATACTTTTGCTTTCTCCCATGCAATTTAAATAATGCTAAAAAATGACATAATTTAATAAAGCTATGTTATAAAAGTACCTACTGCAAGGTGATCTGTAATATCAATATAAGAGACTATCAATACAAGAAAAAAAAGCTTCAAAGTGACACAATTACTTCAACTTTGAAAATTGTACATTCCAAAATAAACCAAAGTACACTGGCAGGAAGTATTAAGTATTTAAAAAGCTATCAGTACATGCAAATTTGTCCGATGCATTATGGTTCCACTTATTCTACTATTGTTTACTCTCTCATAAAACTGAAAGCAACAATTTCTAAAATACAGAAAACCACGGGCAGATTTGGGCTTCGATCATTTATTAGGAAAGAGTATGTTTTTAACTGTAAATACTAAAGACTAAAGAGATTAATAAAATGTTTATAATGCTTAAAGTAGCAAGATACTGAAAATATATGTATATTCAAGGAATGTTTAAAAATATTTATCTCTGTTATTATTCCTTATTGTTTCCTCTCCCTTATACCCACAAATATAATATCTAATAAGAGAAAGTTCTTCATGTTTCAAGAAACAGAGGATAAAAAGAGTAAATAATAGGAAGCAGCTCAATAAAGTTTCCCACAAAGTATAAAAGCAAGAAATAATATGTAATAGTTGCAAAGTCAAAAAGACAAGTGCTTTTATGCCAAAGGGAGATAAATATGTATTATAAAGTTGAATGATATAAAACCTGAAAAGTAATACTTTATCTTGGTCTAAAATATTAATAGAATTTTTCAATACATTAACTAAAGAAACTGATAGATTTTTCAATTAAAGTTAGACAAAAGGTAACTAATAATGTAGCTGCTGCATAGAAAATTGGAATAGGGATTTGAGAAATCTAAAGGAAAGAAATCAAGTGTTTAGAAACTTCTGGTATTTGTCCCTATAAGGATTATATACTTTCCAAATTTTATATCTTCACTTTAGCACTCTACTAATTACTATTTATCTTATAATTTTACACAAAATGCTAAACTATACTGTTGGCACAGAAAACTTACAATAGAATTTTGAAAAGTATTGACTTTTGAAGAGGAAAAAATAAGAAATCTAAGATATTAAGGAAAAAATACTAACATTGGCTGTTACAGCTAATTACAATAATTTGAGTACAATTTAAACTCAAAAAAGCTAATATTTGAAATAATCTGAACATATCTGAAGCTAAAACAATCTAAGAAATAATCAAACCCTAAATAATAATAATAGTGATAATAATAAAGCCCTAAGAAATAATTAAGTATCCTTAGAGTGAATTGTCCACTACTTGTGTGTTAATGATAAAATTAAAAACTAATTTAATATTAATTTAGGAAAAATTGATGCAATAGAGTAAAAATCCAACTTTGTTCTAATCAACGTCACATGGCAGAGAGCAAGGACTTTCGCCATGTCTATTTGTAGAGAACTCACTTGGTTGGCAATCTGCCGAGCAAGGACGTCCATCCTTGATCCGGATTCTGATATCAGTTTAGCTGCATAGATCACTTCAGTTGTATGCTTTAGTGGTCCTTTGCCCCTTAAAGTAAAAGAATACATATTATTTGCAGTGTTTCAGGCTAACATACACACACACACACACACTCACAAAAGTTTAGCATCCTAAGTACTGGCCATTGGCTTTATGTACTTCAATTTTGGACAGGCCTCAATTAGACACCAGAATTCAATGAAAAATAAAAGAAGGCCTATTTTGTTAAGATTCGGGAACTATTGCCAAGAAAATGGCCTCTATTCGATCTTGGTTCCCTGGTGTTTTTTATAGTAAACTTCAGCCTAAAGACACTCTTGGTGGATGTATATACCTCAAGGCAAAGGTAGTTTTCTGATTAGAGGAGAAAATGTGAAATTTTGGATATTAGATACTGTGTTCAACAGTACATCTTAACCAGCAGTTACTTTTAATCTTTTTCATCCTTTTTACTGTCTTTCAGTTAATTGCATTTTGTTTTTATTACATTATCTCGCCTCCACAATTAATTCATAGTAATATCGTAGTGGTTGAGTATGCATCTGGAGTCACTCTATCTTGGACTGTTTCCCAAAAAACAGTCCACTTCTTACTTTTTGTGTAAGTCAAATAAAATACTCCCTCTGTGCCCTAATATCATGGTACTAATAGGAGTACCCATCATGTGGAGTCATTCTAAGGATTACATGTTAATTCCTACAAAGTGCTCAGAACATTGCTTTAAACAAAGTAAGCATTTAATAATACAAGTTGTTATTGCTGTGGTTGTTAATTTAAAATAATTTTGGTTCCTAATGCCATGGAAGAAAAGTTGGGTTCATTTATAGATTTTGTAAGGTAGGTAAGAAGAAAGAAGTGCGCTTCTTACAGTTTTGGAGTGGGGTAACATAAGGAGATGTTTTCCTATCTTCTTTTTCCTCAAATATAAATGAATGATTACTTGAATGAATGTAACTGTTCCATACACCTAAAACCACTTCTCTCTTTATTTCCTTCTGTCCAATTCCTAACCCTCTACTGACTGTCAACATATTGACTGTTCTAACTATTTGGTTTCTGTTCCTTGTCCCTAGCAGAGAATGGGACCCTGAAGGAAACACTCCCTAAAGCCATTGTTTTGATGCTTTTTTTTTTTTTTGAGGAAGATTAGCTTCAAGGTAACATCTGTCACCAATCCACCTCTTTTTGCTGAGGAAGACTGGCCCTGAGCTAACATCAGTGCCCATGTTCCTCTACTTTCTATGTGGGATGCCTGCCACAGCATGGCTTGACAAGCAGTGCGTAGGTCTCCACTCAGGATCCCAACCGGCGAACCCCGGGCCACCGAAGTGGAACGTGTGAACTTGACAGCTAAGCCACTGGTCTGGCCCCGACGCTTGGCGGAGGGTGAGGAGATAAAGGGAGGTGAGAAGGGGGAATCAGCTGGTCAAGGTGAGATAAGGATTTTGAGAGGCCAAAATACAGTGAAATTAGAAGAGAAAGGGAATGAAAACAGTCTTTGTCCATGTCTTATTTACACCTTGGACTCATCTTGAGGGTAGAGACTCTTAGGTTAAACCTGGTAAGATTTGTTATCAGAAGAAAATCTCTGTTTACCAAGGAGAATATCACTATGCAGTGATAAAAGACAGGGCATTCATGTGGAACTAAATGGTCAGAGTATTCTATACCTGAAAACCTGAACACCAAAACGTTTGCACCTCGTGCCAAAAAGGCCTTTCATTTCTCCTTGTCTGTGGTGCCTCTAAAATTCATTATAAGCAAGTTTTCCTGTGGAAACTGAAGAGTATGTCTAACATAATGAAAACTTGGCCTCAGAAGATGGTTATCATCCTCCTTCTCCTCTTTGAATCTGCTGACACAGGTTGCTTTGTAATTTTTTAAAAAACCAACATTAATCATTATAACATTTGAGTTGCTCTCATCAAATTTACTTTATGCATCAGGCAGGACTAGATGTTATGTACCTGGTTATGTTCAAGAAAGGCATTGCATTTCATTATTTCGGTGCATCTCCGGAGCAAGTTAAACTTAAATAAAGCTGTCCACGCTCCTGAGAGGCAATGCATCAGTTTTCAAGGTCTTAAACGATGGGCAAAGGTTGTATCTAAGGAGAGCGACTAACACTGTCTTAACTTAAACAATAGACAAAGAGTTATACCCAAGGAATGTGGCTAATGTATCCTTCCCCTAAAAATAATAAATTTCCCCCTATAAAAACCCCGGGCCAACAAGAGGGAAATTGCCTCTAGCTTTAAATGCCTACCTTGTGATGAGACCACATCTTAAGCACATGTAGAATCTAAAAGGAACGATAATACATTATGACAGACCACAATTATTCTCTTCCTCATGTTCCTAATTAAATGTATTGCCTGGCAAGCTTCCTACTGAGTGCCAAACAAAATATACATTTTACAAATGATTCCACATCATGCCAAGCTTCCAGAGGAAGCTGCAATTATGGAAACTATGATAAATTTTTAACATTCTCAGCCTGAAATGTGCTATGTAATGAAGGCTTTTTAAATTGGGAAATACATTCAAAGGTTGTTTGCTGCCTTCATTTTCATAATGGGTTCTCAGGATCTCCTGTCAGCAAATTGTGTCTTAAATCATTGAGTTTGGATCCGACAGAGAAAGATACCCAGAGGAGGAGGGAGTCGACTTTGGAAATATTTTAAAGAAAGCAGGAGCCAGACATCTTTAATAAATAGTGGATACAATAATAATCTTATCTATCTTCCAAAAAAGGAGGGCAGATCAAGCTCTTGAGTAGAGTCTGCTAATTAATCATTAAAGTATAGCTTAGAGAGCATAATCGGAAAGACTGCAATACCCCAGCGATGTCGGTGCCATGTGGAAAATGCTATTAAGGCGAGTGAAAGGGATACCTCTGAAACTTAATTTATTGGTGCAACGTAACCTCTGAGTCATTTTTCATACTGCCCCAACCTTGACCCTCATTCCTCTCCCAGTTCTCGCCCGGCTTCTGGCATCCACCTCTCCCTTCGTTCTCTTTTGATTAACACAAGAAATAAGAAGATGATGCGGCAGATCAGTAACAGGGATCTGGTTTAGTAATAGAAAATATCAAATCATTTCCTGGACTTATTTTGTCTTTTTTAGGGACAGAGAAGATCTATGAAACGATTTGGTATTTTCTGCTACTGATTAAAAACAAAACAGAAAGCTTTATTTTATATTTTGGATTTTGTAGCCCCTAAATCTTTGATAACATAGTATTGTTCCCCCTTTCAAGGCCAAAAACTTTCCCATTCATCCTCCTTTCCTTTGACATTTATACAGAATAAGTCCATGACATTGTGGCTCACTTAATAGATGAAAACAGTGATGGTATATATTTTGTTGCATAAGATCAGTTAACACATTTTTTTACATGTTAGACACTATACCATACATAAACAAATTTAATCATTATAACAACCCTATGAGTTTAGAATTATTATTCTCCTTATCTCACAGATGAGGAAACTGAGGAACAGAGATGTTAAATATATCTTTTATCCAGTTGCACAGCCAGCAAGAATTGGAGATGTAGTTTGAGTTCAGGCAACCTGGCTATAGAATCTGCTTTTAATGACTATCCTATGTGGCTTCCAATAAAACATGCTAAGATAAAATTGAAATGTTAACGTTAATTGTTAACTAGACTTATTGTGGTGATCATTTCACAGCGCATACAAATATCAAAACATTATGTTGTACACCTCAACTAATATAATGTTATACGTCAATTATACCTCAAGAAAAAAAAATAAAGAAAAAATATTAGGAAGATCTCCTCAGACGTTGATGGGAGCTACTATGATTGTAACAGAGAGGAAAAGATGAGGGTTTGATTTCGGCTCTGGGTGGTTAAGGGGTCCGCCAACAGTGACTCGCTCACACATGGCAGCCTCAAAGAATGCAGCCAGCAGTAGCCTACAGTCCTGGGGTTTCTTTCTTAAGATGTTATTACTTTCTTCTGTTACTTATCCTGGTACCCTTCCTCCCTCTCCCCTTCTCCTTGGATTCTAAATAAAAAACCCTATTCGGCCATTACACAAGCCATGCCAGATGGGAGATGGTACAGTGCTGTTTATTTATAATACAACAAATAGAACTTTTATCTGCAAATCTTAGTTTTTGACATGGTTATTTAATTTAATTCTAAGACTCAAATTTAGTGCTGTTATGAAGTAGAGTGAAATGTATATAGACTTGGGAAATCCATTTTGTCTGTATCCCAACCCTGTCACTTGCTAGCCATATAGCCTTGGGTAAATGACAGTTGGTCTAATCTCATTTTCTCTTGATTAAAATAATGATTGTAATACTTACTACATGGTAAGGATACATAATCATATATTTTACATATTATTTGGCACATAAGGTGCTCAGCAAATGTTAATTTTTTTCCCTTATCCCTTTACGAATGACGGTATTTTATGAAAATTTACATTTTTACTTTTTATTTAAAAATTACAGTAATTGCCAGACAATGTGAACAGACTTGATTAAATTGAGTTTCTTTTTACACCCACTGACAATATAACTCTATATAACCTTGTGCATAATATCCTTTTATAAGAAAAAAATATATAAAACACATACACCTATAAACTCTGTGTGTATATTGTCACTGTTGTTCAAGGTTGTTCTTTAACTCCTTATAAGGATTTAATTTACAATCAGTGACAGATCTTTTTGGTAATATAAACTCAAGATAAATGATTTAGCTCTAGAAGTGCATCATCAGAATTTTCTTACCTGTTGTTCTGACATCAGATACAAAAGAAAAAAGCAATTATCATGGAAGCAATGAAAAGTGATGAAATTAAAAGAGGTGTACTCGACCTAGGCGAGGACACACTCTTCCTCTGCTATTCAAACATGAAACTTTAATTAGGCAACTCTCTCCCTCTGGATGCTATGTTCTCTTGTAAAGTGTCATTCTCAAGTTTTGAGGACCTATAGAAGTCCTTGAAAAATCAGCAAGTAAATAATCAGTTAGCAATCATACTGAGTAATTGGCATCCTGGGAACCTTTGGGATTCCAGTCTGTAACAGGTGTCACCCCATGGAAGAGAGAAAATATTGTCTGAGCATTGCACACATTTTTTTTCATTTTTGCTCTTCTTGTTTCATATTATTCAGGGTAGCCTAACTGCTAAAACAATATCATCAAAATATCTTAATGGCTTAACCCAATTAAATTTATTTCTCTCTCACATCACAGTCAAGGTGGATTGTGGGGTGATGGGCTATATACCACAAGCCATTTAAGACCCCAGGTTCCTTCTAGCTACAAGATAACCTATCCCCTAGGGCTTCCCAGCCCTCTGTCGGGTCACTGCATCCAGACAGCTGACACAGGAAATGAATGAGGATCTCACAGGAGATTTTGGGGATCAGGATAAGAACTGGAACACACCACTCCAACCTGTATTCCAGAATCTGGACACACAGATGCATGTAACTGCAAAAAAGTCTGGCAAATGTATTCTGTTTGGGCACAGGAAGAAAAGAAAACAGGGTTTTATGAGCTCATAGCATTTTCTCTGCACATAATCCCAGGGGTGCTAAAATCCTACATTTTCTTTTTTCATTTTAGCAGCAGAAGTCTGTGTTCCCTGTAAAGGGAAATTTGGATGTCATCAAGTAGGTGGGAAAAACTGGGAAAGTACCAAGATTTTTCACCAATACAGCTGAAATTATAAGACATATACTGTGCCTGGGCAGAAGACCAGTTCTGTTTTTTGTTTTGAAATTGCCACATATAGACGGTCTATTATTAAAAATAAAAATTACTTAAGTTTCACTTTGTGCATGGTGATAATAGTCTTTCATGTTCAATGCTGTATTTGTTTATGAAACAAGGATAGGGTTTATTTTAGAAATCTTTTTGGGGATCAGCCTGGGGAGAATACCTTTATTTATTATTGTTATTATTATTGTTGCTGCTGCTGTTGTTATGGTTGCCTGTGTGTATATGAGGTGTGTGTAGGAAGTAGGAATTCCCTTCCTCAAATCCAAAAGCTAGTATTCTAAAAAAAATCTGAGATGTGAATCTTTTCTCTGTTCTTCAGCTTTCAAATTCACTAATTCACCTTCTACCAGTTTGTGTGGTATCAAATTCAAGACAGACTATATCATTGAGAGAAGAATTTCATGGCGTACCCTTAAGGACGAAAAACAGTAAACACCTAGCTGGAAGCAGAAGCAGAAATAGAATGAATGATTTCATTAGCAAAGTTTATTTTTTTAAAATTGTAGGCAAAGAAGAGGTCAGTTAGCCAGATATTTTTATTTTTGTCTTTAGTAAAACAGACAACCTTCTCCAGTTCTTCCTAAGTGTGTAGATTTTACTATTTTTCTGTGTAATTTTGTACTCAAAGCATACAAAACAAACTATTTGTCTACTTACTGTGTTCTAGACACTATTAAATCGCCTAATTTTCTCACTCAGTTCTCACACCCAGATTTGCTGCACAGTGTTGCACAGCTTGTTTCCAGCACAAATTTAGAGTTGCCGCTCATAACATAGATATTCCCATAATTGTGCATATTACAACTTATGCTACCTGACATGCTCATTCTGCTCCTAGAATCTATTATCTTCACCCTATAAACAAGAAAACTGAAGCTTACAAGATCAAAGTTCTTAACTTTTCTTCAAGCTATATGAAGACTGCTTGGTCTCAACTTAAAAGCAAGGCGGTTAAGTCTTTAGTACTTTAAGAGCCAATTAAAAAGAAATCAGGCGGAAGAATCCTCACAGGTTTTCTGTCAGTGTGCATCTTGAAGCACTGACATTCAATGGGTCGCTCTGAATCAGTGGAATGTTTCATATGCTGCAAAGAAATACACAAGAACAAGAGATGCCTAGCCATTGTTCTGAGTGGGATCTTATTAAAGCATCATTCTCTGTCTATCTGAGCAATCTCAAGGGTTGTGAAATAAATAACCTCTTCTTTGACTGAATTTCTTTTCTCAGCAACCTGACATTTATCTTTCTCTTTTCCTTTCTTTTTTTTTAAATTCTACTTGGGGCTGAAAGCAGATACATCTAAAGAAAAAGAAAATTGCAATTATTTTTTCCCTCTCAACTGAACTTTTTAGCTCGGAGAGAGATGTGGTCTAATGGTGGGGGTCCAGGATTGACCATCAGAAGTTTTCTAGAACCAAAAATGAAGTCACTAATGTGCATTTGAGACCCCTGGCACTGGTGAAAAAAAATGTGGTGTATAGGAAGTTTTTTCTAGTGATGTCAGCCCAATTTTTTACTAATTAATTAAG